CTGCAATTAGTTCTCATGCTCAGTTCCCTGATCAGGATATCCTGGGACACTTTGTCAAAGGCTTTGCTGCAGTTAAGATACACAATAGGAACATGAGTCAGAGGGATGTTCAAGGCAATATGACCTGAACCATGACACTTGCTGGCTCTTTTCTGGAAGCTGATCGTGTTGTCCCATCTTTCCTTGCACACCCTCACCAATGCCCCATCCCCCTGGGAAGTCCATGCCCAGGGGGCTGCTGCAGGAGAGGTGAGGGCCAAGAGTTGCAGTTCAAGTATTAGAAGATGAGACTTTATTAAGGGAGGAGCAGGAACTCCAGATCCAGAAGGATCTGGATAGACTGTGTAAGTGGGCAGGGGACAACGGCATGACATTCATTGCAGACAAGTGGAAGGTCTAGCATTTCAGGCATAGGAATGGGTGTCATACGTACAGGTTAGGGGACAAGTGGCTGGAGCACAGCACTTGTGAAAGGGATTTCGGGGTGCTGGTTGACTGCAGGCTAAACATGATTCTGCAGTGTGATGTGGTTGTCAATAGGGCAAATGCCACCCTTGGGTGCATAGGGAGAAGTGTGGTTTCTAGTTCAAGAGAGGCACTGCTGCCATTCTTTCATGTTCAGTTCTGGACCCTACAGTACAAGAGTGATATAGCATGGTTGGAATCAGTGCATGACAATGCCACAGTCTTATGGAAAGTGCTTCCACGGGAGGTGGCTGAAGCCCATGAGTGAAGGTGTTTGAGGATATGCTGGAAATCACATGGTGGGCATGCCATGAGAGGAGCCGGCTGGAGCCAGGGGTCAGACTAGATTGCTTGAAGACCCCTCCTGACTCACTCTTTTTCAATGTTTCTGTGTTTCTAATTTTTCAAAGTCAGCAAAAGGTCCCCTAGGAATAGGAGTCTCCTCTTCTCCAGGCAAAAAAGCCCGCTCCTTCAATCTCATCTCAAATGGCATTCCGACAATCTAGCTAACATTCTTGTGGCCTTGTGCTGCACTACCCTCCCCTAGCTATGTTTCTCCTGTAATGTGGACCCAGGAACTGGATGCAGAACTCCTGTTGTGTGTGCACCAGAGCCGTGTAGAGCACCACCAGCTCTCCTGGTTCTGAAGCCATGCTTCTGTCTGTACATCCAAGTGACAATCACCTTCTTGACCACTGTGTCACACTGGTGGCTCATGTATAACTTGCTGTTGGTCAGGTCCCTGAGCTGTCTTTCACAAGTGCCGCTCTCACTTAGATCAAACTTGAGAATCTTTTTATTATTGGCTAGAGCAACGGGACTTCGCATAGATTTAAATACGTTTTTTAAGTTATCATAAATGGAAAAAGAATGGTGTGGGGGCTGACCCAGCAAGCTCAATGTTTTTGATGATGGATGTTGTTTGTAGTTTTCTTTTTGTTTTTTTAGGATTACAATTTTTCAAATAAAGCTTATTTAAAAAAAAAAAAACACAAGTACCGCTCTCCAGTCCCCTGTTCCCATCCCGTACCTTCAGCACTTACTCCATAGTCTCATATGTAAGGCTTTGCACTTATCTTTGTAGAATGTCATCCTGTTGTTCCCTGCCCACTTCCACAGTTTGTCCAGACTGGAACATAGAAAAGTTGAGGGTCCAAGATGCACATGCACACACACGCATGTGCGCATACACACACACATACACACACTCTGGGGCGGGGGGTATTCCTGCATGCAACATGTCTAACCATGACATACCAGGGCTGGAACCTCACAGCCTTTGCTCCTGCCTGATCTTCACATGGGACCTGCGGGTCAGCTAAAGGCATTCCATGTAAGAAACTGGCTGCCCTCCAGCTCCTTCTGGACCCATGTGTGACTGATGGGCCACTGCTCTCTCTGGTGCAGGCGCTGCTCATACAATGCTTTGCAGGTGCATGTTGCTTGGGACCCCGTGTCTGTTCAATTGTCTCATCTTGCCCTGTCCAAATATGCACAATCATTGCACACTGGCCCTCTCAGTCTTTGCAGCAACTCTTTTCCTCCCATGGCTTTGTGTCCCTTTCTCTTGGCCCACTGATGGGCTCCATTGCTCTGAGCTAGTTCTCCTGCACATGCCTGCCCCTGGCTTCCCGGGCTTGCCATTAAATTCTGATGTCTAAGTTTGGCATAATGCTGCTGAAAGTGTCCTTTTGACCCACAACTGAAACACCACAATTCCCCGTTGGGCTTCTTAGTGGGTTCAAATCTTCTGTTCTGCCCATGGGTTTCAGGCCCTTTCCAGAGTATGCAGTTTAAGCTTGGCCATTGCTGTTTCAGGGGCAAAATACTGGGTTTCCAGTCTGCTCCCTTGGCATGAGACTCCTTCACTGTTGTTTCTGTTACTTACCTCATTTGCTGAAAACCTTTATTTTCCCTGTTTTGTGCAATTCCTCTTTAAGCTTTCTGGCATGTTTGTCCATGATTTCTACTTCAATAGAATTCACTGCACCAAGAAGCTGCACATGAGATACAAGACTGTGGAGGAGGTATAAGATTTGGGAATAAAAATGAGATTAGATTAAAAATCTTGAGAAATAGATTTAAAAAGAAATATTCATGCTGAAGAATGAAATCATATGTAGGATAAGGCAATTTAAAATTTATGTCAATAAGAATTCCAGAGAATTTTTATAAACTGGTTTGGAAATGAGAATTAACTCTGTTTAAATTGAAGTACCTGAACAAGGAATATTCTGATATGTGTTGGAGATGCAACCAAGAAGTGGGTACACATTCCCATATGTGGTGGAAGTGTAAATATATAAATGAGTTTTGGGAAAGGATTTCTATAGAAATTGGTAACATATTGAATTTAAATATTGATGTTGACCATGGATTAGCATTATTGTTATTATTTAGAGAACGATGGGACAAAATACTAAAGAATTGAAGATAAATGTATTCACATCAGTAAGAATAATAATAGTAAGGAACAGAAAAACAAAAGGTGAATATGATATAGTTGACTGGCATAAAGAAGTCTGGATTATAGCTACTAATGATGGGTTAACCTATAATATTGAATGCAGAAAAGATTTGAAAAGTGAAAATGAATTTGAAAAAGTTTGGAAACCTTTCTTGAATATGTTTCAATAAAAGGAAAGGTGCGTGACCCACACCAAGTGTCAATGAAGCTCTGGAAGGGGAGCGGGGCAACCCGAATGAACCAATGATCTCATGCTAAGTAGCTAGAGTTGTTAGTCCTGGTGGAGGTAGCACTGATGCTGATGTGTTGCTTGATCATTGATGTTTCATCACAATTGTTGTTGTTGTGTTAATTGTATTATTTTTCTTAGATTTAAAAGAAAAATGAAAATAAAATTAATAGAGCTGTAAAAACAAAAGACATTCCTGCACATTTTAAACCCCCGCCTTCTACACAACTCCCTCGCAGTGGTTCTGTGCTGGCAATTCAACTGCGAGCCCCACTCACGTGGGCTCCAATTGTGTAATACAAGATGATTCTGTGCGGCCATTTGCTTCCTAAGGAACAGAACCTTGCAAATGAAGGGGACCTCTTCCTATCAGCAGGTACAGAATGAAAGAGCGAGGACAAGGACTATGATAACAGGATGGGACACCCCTTGTCCCCACACCCTGGCGATGCTACAAAGACAAAAAATAAAGTGGGCTGTAGAGCTACACGTTCACATGTCCTTCTGAACACAAGTGAAATGATAGACCCCCAAGGTCTCCTACAGCTGGTCTGATCACGGAAGGTGCAGCTGCACATGCAGGTTCTCCAAAACCCAGACCCGAAGGCCAGCTCAATTGCATGCACATGAACTCACCATGAGGATTCACCCCAACACAGACCAGTGGGGACCCCGCCTTTGTGAGGGCCTTTGTGGCAACTGCAGCTCTGGCCCCTCAGCGGCCCCGCTCTCCCTTGTGTGGACTTCCCACTCCCCACCCCACTCTTTCTGGGCCCCTCTCCTTTGGGATGGACAAATGTTTCATAGGGGTTACACCTTGCATCTCCTTTCCAATTCTTAAACCCCTCTACCACTTCTGTTTGCCTAGGGGACCCCGGGCTGGGGTTGTGGACAGCTGCCACTGCCAGCCCCTCCCCTCCAGGGCAGCCCCCTCTGCTTTCTGCCCAGCCCCTCCCAAGTAGGGTCTCCGAATCTGGGCAGCAGTGCCCGGACTGCTGAGAGTGGGAAGGGGCCTCCTGAGCCAGGGACCCAGAGTAATGCCTGGGAGGGCCATCCTGTCCTCCGTGGTGGCATACAAGACAACTCCAGCCCCAACATGTGTTCAGTAAACCTCAGTCAGAGGTCTGCTTCCCACGTTTTCATTGTTCTCCTCAAACACAACTTAATCCTTCCCAGCAACGGACATAGGCCTCCTGAGAAATTGCCCTCTGCTTCTTTCTCCTGGTGTATTTCTAAGAGTGGGCAAGAATCCTTTCCAAAAATTCAACTTCTGAGAGGTCCAGAATGAATTGAGCCCTTTTGTCTCCTGTCAGGTATTATGCTGTTGGGTGGGGTGGACAGGAAACTGTGCCTGGCCTCTGGGTTGTGTACAGCACCTTGCACCATGCAAAGATGGCCTCCCAATCCATGCACGCTGCCCTTTCCAGCCGCTATTCCCAGCCAGAGCTCTTCCAAGCAGAGACACCCTCAGGTCCTTCTGAAAACCTTTCAGGCAGTGCTGGGGGTCTCCCAGGGGCTCCTGCCACTACTGACTCCTGCAAGGCTTTCAGCCATGGCTGCTGGAGCCTACACTTGACAGCAAGCCAGGCTGTTCCTTCAGGGAATCCACACCAGCAGATGTGCATGAACAAAACAGACTTCCTACCACTCAAGCAGAGAGGCTGCAGTGTGACACGTGGACCTGGCTGGGAACCAACAGTTCCATTCCTTGCAGATGCAGAGCAGTGCAGCAGGTGCCCAGAAGATCAGCACCCAAACAAGGACCAGGATGGATTCATCCCCAAGGACATCACCTTCCTCACCTATGAAGAACCTCTGGGGATCACCCTGGCTTGGTTTGCCCTATTCTTATCCCTCACAACAGGACTCCTGCTTGGGCTCTTCATTAAATTCCTCAGAACCCCAATCATGAAAGCCAACAACCAGGAACTCTACTATATCCTTCTCGTCTCTCTCCTGCTCTCCTTCTTGTCCTCCTTCCCCTTCATTGGCCAGCCAAGGGAAGTGACCTGCCTCCCCCAACAAAGATCCTTCAGCATCATCTTCTCAGTGGCTGTCTCTTCTTTCTTAGCCAAAACAATCACTGTGGTGCTGACCTCCTGGCCACCAAGCCAGGCAACAGCGTGCGAGGATGGCTGGGGAAGAAATTGGCCAACTCCATTGTCATCTCCTGTTCCAGTATCCAGGTTGTCATCTGCAGCATCTGGCTGGGCACCTCCCATCCCTTCCCTGACTTGGATATGCATTCCCAGGCTGGACACATCATCTTGCAGTGCAATGAAGGCTCTGTGGCCATGTTCTACACTGCCCTGGGTTACATGGGCTTCCTGGCTGCTCTTTGCTTTACGGTGGTCTTCCTGGCCAGGAAGTTTCCTGAGGCCTTCAATGAGGCCACGTTGATCACCTTCAGCATGCTGGTCTTTTGCAGCGTCTGGGTCTCCTTTGTGCCCACCTACCTGAGCACGAGGGGAAAGTACATGGTGGTCGTGCAGGTCTTCTCCATCTTAGCCTCTGGCACTGGGCTGCTGGGCTGCATCTTCCTGCCCAAGTGCTATATTATTCTGCTCTGGCCTCATCTGAATACGAAGGAGCATCTAACAGCAAAAACAAAATAGGGTATCTGATGGAGCAGGAGTTGTTTTTAAATCATTTCCCAAACCTTTCTCATCTGTAGCACTGCTCAGTAAAGAACATCACTTCTGGCAACTCTGCCTTTGGTATCTTTTTCCTAGGTGCAGAATTGGTATATTGGTAGCAGTACTTAATATTTCTCCCTGCTAGATTTCATCCTGTTTTTTTTAGCCCAGTTCTCTAAGCTTTCACCATCACATTGAAATCTGTTCATCTGTAGGGATGGTAGATACTCTGCCCAATTGTGAGTCGTCTCCAAATTTAATAAGCATTCCCTCTGCCTTCTGGTCTGAGTCATGCTGAAAAATGTGGAAGTACAGTTGATGCAGGATCAAGCTCTGCAGTTCTCTCTCTTCAGCAATTTGCCAATCAGCTTATTCCGGGACTCTTTTTTCACAAACTGTGCTGACATCAAGATATAATAAAGGAACATTGAAATTTAGCATGTCAGAAGGGACTTTCCAGGACATCAAGTGTGACCCCCAACTTCAGCTTGCTCTTCTCATGTAATCCCCAACATGTGCTTGTACAGTTCCAGGCACTCAGTGAGACTAGTCATCTGGACCCATTTTAGTCAGGGATCAGGCTGAATGTGGGCATGGAAGCAGCTTTGGTCACGCTGTGGGATGATCTCCAACAGGAGAGAGATGGGGGAGAGTTTCCCTGTTGCTTCTTCTGCGCCCAGCAGTTTTCAGTATCATCGGCCTGGCTATCCTTCTGGGGTGACTCTCTGAGTGGGGAGGGGGTGCACTGCATTGAGGGGTCTGCTCTGGGTTGGAGTCCTTTCTCCTAGAGGTGGTGCTGGGGAAGTGCACTTCCCCCATTCTCAAGGAGTTCCAACATGGAGCTGGAGTTCCTCCAATGTCCACCATGGAGCTCCTCAGGGGTCCATATTTCCCCCTTTGCCCTGAATCCACTGAGTGGGACAATCCAGGATTTTGGAGTGCTCTGCCTTCAGTTTGCGGATGGCACGTGACTCTCTCCTTTTCATTGTCAGAAGTCTGGGCGGTGGAGGTGCTGGGCTGGTTCCTGGCTATGATGATGGCCTGGATGAGGCCTAAAAAACTTAACCTCTGTCCAGATGAGACCAAGATGCTGCTGCATGGCATTTTCTTGACTGGACAGTGGGTGTTCTGTGGGTGCTGTAGACAGGGTGTCCCTCCCCTTGAAAGAGCAGGTTCATAGCTTGGGGCTTCACATCAACTCGTCTTTGTCACTTGTGGCCCACACAGCGTCTCCAACTTGGAGTGCCTTCTGCAATGCACTCGAGGAGTGGCTGCCCTGGAAGACTGACTGTTCAGGAGCTGCAGATTTTTAAAGCATAGCAGCTGTTGGAACAGTACAGACCAAACACTCAGAGCATGAAATGCTAATTCTGCCCCGCTTTCCCCGGCTGACTCTATGCTTCTGAGCCTAATCCAAGGAGCTGATTTTGATCTGAGAAGTTCTACCTCAATATTGGGTCCACCACACTTGATCTGCCTCTGGTCTTTCCTCTATATGTCTTCCCCATGGGAGGCCTATAAAGAGGCAACAGGGAGGAGGGCCTTGGCAGTGGTGGACCCCAAACTGTGCAATGATCTTCCCTTAATGGCTGCTTGGGTTTAGCTTAAACTGCCCTCCTTTTTGAGGTATTTCCTGGGACCCACCCAGAGAGCTTCTCATACAAATATGAGAAATGCATACATGCATACATACATCCCATTTCATGGGATAGGATGATTTATGCCAACTGCTTTAATGAGGTCTCATTTTATTGAATTTTCTATAGAGCTTTTCATGTTCTGTTGTTGTTAGTCGCGAAGTTTCTCCAGTGGTGCACGAAGCTGCCCAGGGAGAAGGGGAATTTCCAAGGCAAGGTGTGTTCCCCCAGCCATTGTCACCACCCTCATGATGGCTCTTCCTCCTGCGGCCAGGGCTCAAGAGGATCCCCATGGGGCCTCTCACATAAACAAGAGAATCTTGAAAAGCAGGGAAACACATCATCTGATATGTGTGCTAGAGTGGCAGCAACGTAAAGGCCCTGGTGCAGCTCAGAGTTTCGGCAGATGAGCGCAGGTTCAGTAGCCATGCATCTTCCTACTCCCATCCCCTTCAGATGCCGTAGCCTTACAGTGTGTTCAGCCTCTTCTGCTGGCACTTCTGCCCTGCAGAGGGGAGGATGGGTGGTGAGCCTGAGAGCTGGAATGGCCAGGCAGTTCCTGCTGCTTCTCCTGCTGCTGCTGCAGCCCCACAGAACCAGAGGAAGGCTGGCAGCTACGTGCTCCCTGACCCTGGGGAGGGTTACACAAGACCCATCCAGCTATCACAGGCCAGGAGAGCCCCTTCTTGGTAGGGTCATCTCTGCAGGATTTCCAGGTGATTGGGAACTGGAACTTTTCAACACACATCCCACCATGATGCTTCCTTCCAAGTAAGCCTTGAAATGGTGAAAGAACAGACTTTTTACCTCATTTCTCTGGAACTGTCCACTTCTCCCTGAATGCCTAAAAATCTGTATGGGCCTCTGACTGGAGTCTGGTGCACATCCTGGCAAAGGGTTCACCAAGGTTATCATGGCAGGTGCTGCAGCTGGAGAGAGTCCATTTGGGAAGCAAACTCATGCAAAACCAGGCAGGAAGCCCCTGTCTGCCATGGTTCCTTCCCCAGGACAAGCCCCCAGTAGCAGCAGCAATATGCCCGTATCTCTCAGTCGCCAGGAATTGGGGCAGGAGGTGCAGTGGCACTTGGGACCAGCTTGAGGGCTCTGTATATGCAGAAGGGCATCCTCTCTCCTGAAGTCCCCCACAGATGGTCTGCTTTGAAATCCCCTTTCATTTCTAGTTTGATGTCCTTTTTCTTGCTCACTTTTATTGTAAGCTGAATAGTCTCGAATCTGAACACATTGTTACATTGAATATATTTGCAGGTATCCGTTCACAAACTATTGGAATATCTTATCCTTCCTCTTTGCTGTTCGAGAGGTCAATCAGAGCCCTGGGCTCCTCCCCAACCTCTCCCTGGGCTACAGTGTTCATGACAACTTTTATGAGGCAAGGTTGACTTCGGACGCCCTTGTGGACCTGCTTTCTCCGGGGCAGGCATATGTGCCCAACTACAGCTGTGGGAGGAAGACTTTCCCTCTGGCTGTTCTCGAGGGAGCTGACTCAGACTTCTCCAGGCAGATTGCAGCCATGCTGGCCATCTACAAAACACCACAGGTGAGGATGGAGAGGGATGGGCATTAATGAGCTGAAACCCAGGACATTTCGTCCTATCTTGGGGAGCTGAAGCAGAGTCCAGGCACCTCTGCAGTGAGTTCAGAGGCATCACTTGGAGAGGGCTGCAACCTAGAATGCCTTGTCTCTCTGTAAAGAACTCACCTGGCAACAGACTGCAGGCAGGGCTTACAGCTCTGGAAATGTCCATCAAGCTGCAACCTTTGGTATCCTTTTCTCTGCTTCATAAAAACAGAAAGACGGAAGGATGCACAGGGAGGATGGTGTGGTCACAGCACAGCAGAGGTGGCCTTCCAAAGGGAAGGAGTTTTGCACACAACTCATTGTTAAACTATGGAACTTGCCACCACAAGGTGCAGAAATGGCCCCTGCTTTGGATGACCATAAAATGAGGATGAGCAAGATTTCAGCTCTGATGGGAGGCAAAATGCAGCTCTGCTGTCTTCTTTCCCTTCCAGGTCAGCCATTCATTTGTTTCTCATGCCTTGAATGATAAGACTCAGTTCCCCTTCTCCTACCCGATGGTCCCCAAAGAACCAACCCAGTACCAGGGGATCACCCGGCTGCTCCTGCATTTCCGGTGGACACTGGTGGGCCTAATTGCTGCAGACACCGAAAGCGGAGGGAGGTGCATGAGGGCCTTGACCACAGAATTCACCAGAAGCAGAGTGTGTGTTGTTTTTACCCAATATAACTCAGGCCTGTTCGCAAGTACAAATAAGCTCAATCATGCCTGGTTTCACTCCTCAGGAAAAGCCAATGTTTTTGTTTATTGTGCAGAGACGAGTACATTCATGGAGGGCATGTATAGGATACAATACTTTAGTGGTTACCTCAGAGAACCCCCAAGAGGGACAGTGTGGATCACAACTGCTGTGTGGGACCTCTCTTTGGAACTGGTGACTCACACACCTTCAGAGAACATCAATGGCATATTTTCCTTCCTTATCCAGAAAACTGAAGAGAAAACAATTGATGGCTCCTTGTTTGACTTCCTCTTCTTTACAAATCAGTTAGCTGAGGAAGCATTTCAGTGCTCTTCAAAGCAGGCCTTAACTGTGAAAGGCCGGACAAGATGCAGGGAGAGGGAGGATTGGGGTGCACTTTCACATAAAGAGGTGGAGAGAATCCTGTCTCTGGACATCCACGTCATTCGCAAAGGTGTCCTGGCCATGGCCCGGGCCCTGGATGCTGCTGCTTCATCCCAATCTGGGAGGAGGGACAAGGAACATGGAGACAGGCTACGCATTTGGAGGCTGCAGCCCTGGCAGGTATTCCCTTCGTGTCGCAAATCTCCTTGCTGAACCCAACACTCATTACTTCTGCCTTGCAAAGCTTGACCTGAACGTGGGCTCTGAGAAAAGTGCAGACCCATTGTTGGAAAAAGCTGCATGTTTCTGGTGCATTTCCTTTTGGGAAGGGTGGAAACTGCCTTTGAGGGAGAGAACAACCCTCTGTTCAAACCCGTACTGTCAACATGGGCTTTCAGCAGGTCTTTGGGTTTCAGGCAGGGCTTCTTCCTCCTCCTGCTGGGGAACAAGAAACCTAGAGACCCTGCAGCAGATTTCCAAGGGGGTCCCACATAGGAGGGCAGGATCTCTGCTCAAGCATGCCAGAGTGCAGGATACGGAGCCACTTGTCCAAACTGAGCACCACCTTGTTGTCCCCAGCCAACTTTCGTAATCTGTCCAGACCTGCTCCTCAGTTGTAGCCACTACCTCCATTTTAGTATCACCTGCAAATCTGATCAGCAGGTTTGATCCCCTTCCTCCATGTCAGTGATGAGGACATTGAATAGGATCATTCCCTGGGGGACCCTGTTCATCACCGACTGCCATTCCAATGATTCCCCTCTAGCCCTTGGGATTCCTTGGACTCCCCCATCCCGAAGGCAGTCAAGGGGCAGGAGGAAAGCCCTGTGCCAAGGATGCTGAGATTCCTGAGACTCTAAGTCCTGCAGGGGATGGGTTGGAACCAGATGCACTTGGGCCCCTTCTGGCTCTTTATTCTGTGCTTTGCTTGGTCAAACGAAACACAGAATATTGCTTGTATGAATTTCTCCATGCTTAGTCTGCAAATTCTGGAACACACAGTTGTCTGAGTTCTGTGGATTCAGTGAACTTGCTGAATGCTTTTTCACTCAGGGGATATTTGCACTGATTTGATGATTGCTGGTGCACACTTGTGCACTTGTCCAAATTCACTCATTTCCAATAATTGAGAAGAACAAATGCCCTGCAAAAAGAACCCATCCAAATCTGGATTTGTTTGATGGACATGTACATGCTCCCTATGACTGAGGAAGCCGGGTGTCATATATGGGGCATTCTGCAGAGAAAGCAATTCTAGGGCCCTCTGCTGAGCCTGTCCCCATCGCAAAGCTCCCTGTCCAAGCTCCTTCTTGCGCCTTCCACTAGCTGCTGGCTCAGCCCCAAGTCCTCAGATGGCCCATTCCAGTGCTGAGCAGCTTGGGGTGTGGGGAGCATATTCAGCACTCGAGGCTGAGGGGACCTGTTGGCGGTTGACCTGCCACCGTGTGCACTGAGTGCTGGTGATCTGGGCCCTTGTGCGGATCCAGCAGGGCTTTTTAAATATTTGCCCATCTTCGTTTACCTACCGGAGGAAGCTCTCTTGACACTGTTCCTGCTCCTGCCACCCCTCCCCTGGCCTCAGCTCAGGCCCTTCCCCCCAGCTCCCCCTTTGGTCTATAAGAGTACAAATACAGAGTACAAAGCATCCTGTGACCCTTTTGCTGGTGAGAAATTGTGCAGTGAGGAGCCTGCATTGGTTCGGAGAGAGATCACAGGAAGGTGCTCCATTCATGTCTTTTCACACTGGGCCAGCTGGAATGAACCTGGTTAGTGATGTGGTAGTGCTTTCCCCTTTGACTCCATTTGACTTTGGGCTGGCCATGTGAAGGTGGGGGAGACCCAGCAGCCCCATGAGTCTGACACAGTCGGGAGTTGGGAAGAGTTGAGGGTCAGCGGAGTGCTGAACATGGTTTGCTGCACACTAACGGGAGGTTCTTCACCTACCCTTCTAGCTTCACCCTTTCCTGAGGGACCCCCGGTTTTATAATTCTTCCCTCATTGACGGCATGCACTGGGGCAAGAACGGGGAGCTGGTCGCGGACTTGGACATTGTGCACTGGGTGGTGTTTCGCAATATCACTGTGCTTAGACGGAAAATTGGGAGCTTGGAAAGACGGGGAGCAGGAGACCTCACAGTCACCATCGACGAGGATGCTGCTGAGTGGCCCAAACGGATCAAAAAGGTGGGAGGACCGCCTCTTTCTCCTCATAGTGCTGAGAATCTCCCAACCATCAGACCTCCCTGTGCTCCCCCTCAGACTGCCAGTCAGGACTCCTTCAGAGCAAGGATGGGTACCCTGCAGCCTCCATTCCTGTGGTGGCCCCAAAGTAGAGTGTAAGATTTACAGTGAGGCAGGGGAGTCCCTGGGAAGGTGCTCTGCTTGGGAAGGATCAGGAACCAATTTCCCAGACAAAAAATATTGAATGCCGACCCCATCAGCTCTAGCTCCTCGTGGACCTGGCCTCAGACCTCGGGAGAGGTGTGCACTGTGGAAAAGGTATTGCAGAATCTTCAGCTGGACATCCTGATTGCCTTTCTAGCTAATTGCTATAGATAAATTGGCGTAAAGGCTCTTGTCTTCCCTCTCAGCCTCTGCCCCACTCCAGGTGTGTGGAGAGCTGCCGCCCAGGATCCGTCAAGGTGGTTCAGGAAGGAGAGCCCCCCTGCTGCTATGCCTGTGCCCCCTGCCCAGAAAGGTCTTTCTCTGCCGTGGAAGGTGAGAAGGCATTCCTGGGGGGAGGGAAAAGCTTCAACCTGACCACCTCTGGGTCTTTCCCCCAGTGCATCTGCATGCAGGAACGCCTTCTGGACTCCCTGTCTGCTGCAGTCACAGACACAGTGGCCATTCCCTGCCCTGGCCCTCCAAGATTTCACATTTTGTGCTGTGGAAAGATGGGCATTGACGGGTCCTGCTAAGCAGCAGGAGCTGCCTGCATACTCAAATAGTGGTGGAAGGGCTCACCTGGAAATGATTAGGCAAGACAAGTGGTTCACTGCCAGGGAGACAGTGCCACTCAGAAGGAATAGGCAAAAGCAGACCCTTCTCTAAAGAAGCCGCTGCCACCCTTCCTGACAAGACCAGGGCCAGTGGTGGAACAGTTTATTATATCCATTAAAATTCTGACTAAATGCAACCTCTCAAGGGTTCTACATGTGGGATACGTGCAATCCATCCAGGGTGGATAAACAGCACAGATGCCCTCAAGGCTTAGGGAGGGGTCCATGGAGCATTCGGGGTGCAAAGGGCGAAGAGCTGTAGGAAACCAGGTGGCCATGTTATTCAAGGACTGGTCAGCACCTCTTTTCACTCCAGCAGGTATGCAAGGACAAAAACAAATTGCCACAACTCAAGCAGAGAGTCCTTGCTCAAAGTGTTCCTTGCGGACCCGGCATTGAAGTCTTGCTTCTGTTCTTCGCAGATGCTGAGCGGTGCAGCAGGTGCCCAGAAGATCAGCACCCAAACAAGGACCAAGATGGATGCATCCCCAAGGACATCACATTCCTAACCTACAATGAACTTCTGGGGATCACCCTGGCTTGCTTTGCCCTATTCTTATCCCTCACCACAGGACTCGTGCTGGGACTCTTCATTAAATTCCTCAAAACCCCAATCGTCAAGGCCAACAACCGGGACCTCTCCTACATCCTCCTCATCTCCCTCCTGCTCTCCTTCTTGTCCTCCTTCCTCTTCATCGGCCAGCCAAAGGAAGTGATCTGCCTCCTCCGACAAATGGCCTTCAGCATTATCTTCTCAGTGGCCATCTCTTCTCTCTTGGCCAAAACAATCACTGTGGTGCTGGCCTTCCTGGCCACCAAGCCAGGCAACAGGGTGAGAGGATGGCTGGGGAAGAGCTTGGCCAGCTCCATTGTAATCTCCTGTTCCAGTGTCCAGGTTCTCCTCTGCACCATCTGGCTGGCCACCTCGCCACCCTTCCCTGACTCAGACATGCACTCCCAGGATGACCAGATTATCCTGCAGTGCAATGAAGGCTCTGTGGCCATGTTCTACGCTGCCCTCGGCTATATGGGCTTCTTGGCTGCCGTCTGCTTCACGGTGGCCTTCCTGGCCAGGAAGCTGCCTGGGGCCTTCAACGAGGCCAAGCTGATCACCTTCAGCATGCTGGTCTTCTGCAGCGTGTGGGTCTCCTTCGTGCCCACCTACCTCAGCACCAAGGGCAAGTACATGGTGGCCGTGCAGGTCTTCTCCATCTTGGCTTCCGGTGCTGGGCTGCTGGGCTGCATCTTCCTCCCCAAATGCTACATTATCCTCCTGCGGCCTGAACTGAATATGAAGGAACATCTGACAGCAAAAGCAAAGCAGGACATGTGATTAATCAGGAAATCTTTTTAATTCAATTACCTCCCATCCTGTAACAATATATTTGCTTTCTTTTTCCTAGGTGCAGAACCTGAGCCTTATCCCTGCTTGATTTCATTCTGTTGCTTTCAGACCACCTCTCTCAGCTATCAAAATCACATGGAAAGTTTTCTTTCTTTGGGTCTGCTGGTTGTCCTGCCCAACGTTGAGTTTCTGCAAATCTAATAAATGTTTTCTGTATCTTCTGGTTGGAGTCATTAATAACAATGTAGAAGAGTACTTGGCTGTGGAGCTAGTCCTGCTGTTTCCTCT